GAAGAACTCTGCTTCATTGGTTGAAGATGCAGGGATTTTATATGGGAGCCACAAATGGCAATCAATTATCATCAATCACACCGGCCTTAGCGCACCCAATTTGCATGGGGGTAAAAAGTCTGAAGAACTTTCATATATCCTCATTCAAAAGTCTATATATTGTGCTAAAAAATACAAAAAAAAAAACTGCAGAATAGCGCTGGCTTCCAGCTTCCTCTAGATAATGCTGTGAGCCCATAAGCCCTTGTGGGGAGTGTTTTCTGATGGAGCTGGGTGCAAACAACAGTCAAATTGCGGTCTTGGAGGTTGCGTTGCCAAAGATGGGGGGCAGCCTATTCAAGTACTTTTTCTGGCGCCAAGTATCATTTTCTGCAGCTCCAGCCAGTCATACGCCAAAAAAATGTTCAGACTAACCCATAACCCCCGGTACAAGCACTCCCGCCCCCCTGCACTAGCCCACAGCCGTGATTTCCACATTCTTCTTCTTCTTCTTCTTTTTTAGTTTCAACCATCAACCGCATACATATGTAGACCGTGGTCTATGGGGTCTATACCAATATCGCACAAGCCCCTGACCTACAGCACCGGAGATATCAATGCTGGTGACATTGCTACCCGCGTGGGGCCGCGGTATTGAGTCTAAAATGCTGGTTTAAAACCCGCTTGGCAAGCAGGATGGGGTACCGTATTCTTACAGCACCGCTAGCGTATTGACTGGAGTACGGCACCCCTCTCCGGCACTGTACCCACCCCACCTCGTACAAAGTGGCAATGTACATGTACCTATATGCAAATGCACATGCACATGTATGTAAAGAGACATACCGTTTTTTTTTGCCTCATTTATGTTTCGTCTTCATGCTCTCTTAGATATCTGTTACATTGTGCATGGAGGTGCATGGGTGGGGAAAACTGCACGATGACGGGCAGTTTACAGCTTATAGGGGTGGGAGGGGGGGTGGCAAGTGGGTTCAGTGTGATCTTGCCATATACAGCTGGCGAAAAGTCTGCCTGCAATCCAATGAACCAAACATAACCCCCACCCAAAAAAAAGGGCCCATGATTCCGCGGCAATATACTCGAGTGATACACCATGTCTCACTCACCCGTCCCCGACCCTCCCCGACTAAGGTCCATACAATGTACATGTAGTTACCCTGCCTGCCTATCTGCCTGCCTGCCTGCCTCGCCTCGCCCCCGCAACACCCCCCACACCCACACCCACACCCGCATCTGCATCCGCATCCGCAATGCTTCTCCTCCGCCGCCGCCCGCCCGTGTCCGTGTCCGTGTCCATGTGGCGATGCCGCGCTCCCACGCCCACGCCCGCGCCCACGGCGCTGCCGCTGCAGAGGGTGCCAACGAGATGCTATTCGAGCCCGGCCAGCGCTGATCAGGCGGCGGTGGCGGCGGTGCCGCTGGCGCATACGCGCAACATTGGCATTATTGCGCATATCGATGCTGTGAGTTTGTATAGCGCCCTGTGATTGTGGGATTGAGGGGAGCTTGAGAGGGGAAGGGGGGGGGGGGGGGCTGAGGCAGTTCGGGGGCCGGGGGGGGGGCGGGGATTGAGGGCTGACTCGGGGTGCTGGTGCAACAACTAGGGGAAAACTACGACGACGGAGAGAATGCTATATTACAGCGGCTTTACGAGGAGGATTGGAGGTCTCTACCATTCTTTTTCTTCTTCTTTCTTTCTTCCCTGCCCTGTCCTGTGCTTGTGCTTGCTTTCTTCTACTGCACAGCTACTCTCTCTCCTACTTGTGACTCCTGTGGTGTGGCGTCTCTCCACTGGGCGAGTCGTCCCGTGCTCTCACAGCTTCACGGGCTAGCAATCCGTACCTGCAAAAAAAAAAAAAAAAAAAGACAGACAGACAGACAGACAGGCACTAACCTCCACCGCCCTCTCCAGAAGTCGACGAAGGCTCCACCGTAATGGACTACCTCCCCGCCGAGCGCACCCGCGGCATAACAATCACCTCCGCCGCCATCACCTTCGCCTGGACGCCCTCGTCCTCCCCCGCCACGCCCGCCCCGCACACCATCAACCTCATCGATACCCCCGGCCACGCCGACTTCACCTTCGAGGTCGAGCGCTCCATCCGCGTGCTCGACGGCGCCGTGACCATCCTCGACGGCGTGGCCGGCGTCGAGGCCCAGACCGAGAAGGTCTGGCGCCAGGCCCACGCCTACTCCATCCCGCGCATCATCTTCGTCAACAAGCTCGACCGCGTCGGCGCGCGCTTCGGCCCCACGGTCAAGGAGGTCGCGGCGAAGCTCAACGGCTGGCCCGCGGTGTGCCAGCTGCCGGTCTATGACGCCGACACGCGGGGCGGCGAGGATGTGTTCCGCGGCGTAGTGGACGTGGTGGAGAAGCGTGTGTTCCTGTGGGGCGGGGGCGACGGCCAGAAGATTGAGCTCCGCGACTACGGGTGGCTCGAGGAGCAGCGGCCGGAGCTGTATGCAGAGGCAAAGGCGGCGAGGGTGGCGCTGGTGGAGCTGCTGGCGGAGCATGACGAGGAGCTGGTCGAGGTGTTTATGGAGCTTGAGGACCACGCCCTCATCCCCGCGGCGGCGATCAAGGCCTCGCTGCGCAAGTCGACGCTGAAAGGCGACGGCAAGATCATCCCAATCTTTGCCGGCGCCAGCTTCCGCAACATTGGCGTGCAGCCGCTGCTGGACGCTGTTGTGGACCTGCTGCCGTCGCCGCTGGACCGCCCGCCCGTAGCCGTGTCGTATAACCAGGGCAAGCACCGGGGCACGCTGGACGTCACCGACCAGAGCAAGGTGTGCGCGCTGGCCTTCAAGGTCGTCAATGACCCGAAGCGCGGGGCAATGGTGTTTGTGCGGGTGTACTCGGGCACGCTGACCCGCGCGCACAACCTCTTCAACACGAACCTGGGCGTCAAGGAGCGCGCCACCCGGCTCGTGCGCATGTATGCCGACGAGGCGGTCGACATCGCCGCCATCCCGACCGGCCACATTGGCGTCATCATTGGCCTCAAGCACGCGCGCACGGGTGACACCCTCATCTCCGAGGCCGCCGCCGCGCAGAGGCCCAAGCAGCAGCACCACCACCACAAGAACAGCAAGACCCCGCAGCTCGCCGCCGACACGCTGCAGCTGCGGCCCATCGCTGTGCCGCCGCCCGTCTTCTTCGCAGCCATAGAGCCAAACTCGCTCAGCGACCAGAAACACCTCGATGAAGCGCTCGCCATGCTGCTCCGTGAGGACCCCAGCCTGCACATCAGCATCGACGCAGACTCGGGCCAGACGCTCATCAGCGGCATGGGCGAGCTGCATCTGGAGATTGCGCGAGACCGGCTCGTGAACGACTTCAAGGCGAACGCCGAGATGGGCCGCATCCTCATCTCCTACCGCGAGACCATCGCCGCCGCGTCCCAGCCCGTCCGCACGGTATTCGACAAAGAGATCGCAGGCAAGCACGCCGCCGCCGCCTGCACCGTCACCGTCGAGCCCCTCGACCCCACCTCCACCTCCACCACAACCACAGACGACGGCAACGCCATCACAATCGCGGTCACAACCCCGCCCACCACCGACCCCGCCACGGGCGAGCGCACCGACACCCGCCTACCCAAGTGGCTGCCCACCCCCGACCTCGAAACCGCGCTACACAACGGCGCCTCCGCGGCGCTCGGCCGCGGCCCCGGCCTCGGCTTCCCCGTGCGCGGCGTCGCAGCCCGCGTCAGCGTCAACGTGTCGACCGACGTGCTCGGCCCCGAGAGCACGCTCGCCGCCTTCTCGTCCGCTGCGCGGGTCGCCACGACGGCGGCGCTGAGGGACGCCGCGGGCGGGGAGAGCGTGCTGATGGAGCCGGTGATGGACGTGGTGGTGACGTGCGAGGAGAAGGACCTCGGGAAGGTTGTTGGCGACATTTCGGGCGCGCGCGGCGGACATGTGTTGGAGCTTGGGGGGCTGGATGCCGAGGCTGATGCGGAGGCGGCGGGCGGCGGCGGCGGCGAGGCGGAGAGGGAGGTGGACTTGGTGAGGGTGTATGCCCCCGGGGTGAAGCGGAGCGTGGAGAGCAGGGACGAGGGGGCGAGGAAGCGGACGGTGAGGGCGAGGGTGCCGCTGAAGGAGATGGTGGGGTACTTGAAGCACCTGAGGGGCATCACGGCGGGGAGAGGCACGTTTGTGATGAGCCTGGAGGGCTGGGAGAGGATGAATGGGAATAGGGTGAAGGAGGTGGTTGCGGAGGTTCGGGGTGGATAGGGAGGGAGGGAGGGGGGGGGGGGGGAGGGCTGTATACCAAGGTGTTTTTTTGTATAGTAGTTACTTGGAGAAGTGTAGATATTTTATTCTCCTTTAGTGTAAATTATAGTCAAGACTGGGGGTGGGATTGGGGCCAGCGCGCCAAGCTGCGAGTGATATCTGATGAGTATGTGCTTAGGAGGAGGACGCTTTTTGTTACGAAGGGTAGCGGGTTTAGATACGTACATGTAAGGGATGCGATTACAATTCGAGGGGATCTTACACATGCTCCGTAGCTAGTAGAGCAAGAGTTCAATATAGACTTTGATCCCCATGTGAAGCACAGGAGAAGGCCCATTGCTCAGTTCGGAAATTGAAGAGCTCGAATGTTGTATTACAACGGTGAGAAAAGTAAGTGGAAGGGGAACAAGTGCTAGCTCGCAGGGAATACAGTAGTCTCTGTGGCCTGTCCTTTGGCCCTACTGGCTATCGGTCCTCGCATTGACAACTTCCCTTCCGAATCAAGCATGGACTCTGGTAAAACAAACGCAGGGCTGTCTGTACATCCTTGAGGATTTGGGTTCATTGGAGCTGTGGATTGTGGCTTTGGGATATTAGAGGGGGGGGCGGGACTTTTGTTCTGCGCTGGATACTTGTATATATATGCATGATGGAGCTCTAGTATTATTATTACACTCCCACGTTCATTCTGCTACAAAGCGTTTCTGAACATTGGATGGGGCTTGGCGACCTCTTTTTTTTTTATCAAAAGACGAAAGAAAATATGCTCTGGTTGGGGGTTCGAGCCCAAGTCTCCCTGCGATTTTATATGGTTTTAATGTTTTTGGTGAGTGCATGCTGGCCAGCTGCACCACCAGAGCTTGAGTAATATGAATGTCTAGGTGGCTTATAACCCAGGATGTGTGTTCTAGGGAAGGAGTCACCAGAGGAATGGGGATTTGCGATATACAGGTGGGGAAAGCAAGTTAGCCGGCATCTCTAGTTCTTTCTCCAGTCGCATATATCAGACACCTTGCGGCCTTGCTTTTTTTTTTTTTTTTTTTTTTTGGTTTCTTCCTGGTCAGGAGAGAGGATATGGGTGGCCAGATCTCGCCCACCTTCTCCTTATGACCAGGGGAAAAGGCCTGCCCTGGTTTTTTCGTGGTTAGTTATGACTGGCTCACGACAAATGCTTTTCGTACTTCGCAAGGATCGAGGTAGGCCGGGCCAACCGTGACATATTCTGGTTGGGTGTCTAGATACTTGGAAGGTAAATTAAAGGATTAATAACCTGAAGCCATGGTGAGCGATGACTTGCACTACATGTATCTTACTATAGGCCCCTGTTTTCCCTTGGCAAGGAGTATACTTGACCTGAAAGAGTGCCGGTTGACTGCAGTGTATTCCTGATAGGATTCGATTTGGTTCACCCCACGAAGCACATACAACTACGACAGTTAATGTAATTACATAATGGGCCTAACAATACATGTAATCAACATAGCCGTTGACGACGTCCAAGTGACAGGTATTCCAATTTCCAATGTAGGATGTAGGTACATGTAGGTACTAAATCGTGGCATTGAGGTGGTTAGATGTAGGCGTATGTACATACACATCTAAGATTGCGTTTATATCGCTGCTTGTTCCCTTCCGAATTTCTGCCTTAATATCTGCACTCGTCCTATTGGCTCCGTTCGTACTAGGCCCGTTCTCCTGCATGACCAGAGCTTCAAGCGACACGTGACAAATTTACCTTGGCGAGCTCTCCGTTCATCAGGATTCACTCCAAAGACTTCTATATCTATTCAACCTTCTAGTTGTGCACAGAAGTTCTTATTTTACGATTCTGTAATTTTTGGTAAGGCCCCCTCGAGCCTTGTTGCGCTACTTGCTCCCATTTCCCTTTTCGTTACGCACTGCCGATCCCTCCCACAACGGTACAGCCTCACCACTGTCTTCAACCCACCGACACCCCATCGCATCGCAGGGAGTTAACGCACAAACTCCTGCCATCGCGACAACCCTTCCTACAACCTGTCGGCGATCTTCTCGCGGCCTGGGCGAAACGAGTTCTCGGTATTAGTCCGGTGGTCTTCGCTACGTACATACGTTGTCTGGTTTTTTGAGCGCAGGGCAGCAGCAGCAGCAGTAGCAAGAAGCAGCCACATAGTAAAGGTTAGGCAAGTCACCATCAAAGGGACCTCTCCAAGACCAGCTCCTCTATTTTCTTCTTTCGTTCATTTCGAGTATTCTTCAACAATACCTACATGGACAATCGACGCCACTCCTCAGGTCGCGGGGGTAGTGTCCCCACCAACAACCCCAGTTTCGGCGGAGGTGCTGGCGCGAACCTCTCGGCTCTTGACTGGGCCATTGGTCTTCGGTACCTACTTCCCCTTATTGCCTATTTCCTCCCCTTGTTTCCTTTATATCTGTAGACTCTCTCTCTTTTCAGCTGCACGCGCTAACTAGCACCTTCCATGCCAGCGTTCGTGTCCTCACCATCATTGACGACACTTACGAAGGAACGATTTACTCCTACGACCCACTCACGTCTACACTCGCTCTCGCACAGAACCCCACATCTAGTGCTCCCAACTCCCCGGCCGACTACCGAATCCTTAAAATCTCGTTCCTCAAGGATGTCACTTTCCTCGGTAACCCGAGTAAGCAGCAACGCAGCAACACGCCGTTCACTAATGCCGAGCCCAAGATTGGCCCTGTCAATTTGAATATGCTGGGGGGCAAGGAGAAGGAGACTGCGAAGTCTGAAGCAGTGAAGGTTGCCAACATAGGCGTCGGAGTCACCGCGGAGGCGCAGGAGATCTATGATGCTTTGATTAGGCTGTAGGCTTTTTCCATGAAGACGATAGATTTCTTACTTGTACTAACTGGGTGGTGATAGGATGCCTTGCCGATGGCACGAGAAGCAGATTGTCGTGTTGGAGAATGTCATCATCGATGAACCCTATACTCTCGACAGAGTAAGGTCATCGGACAAGCACGCCCTGAACCGGGTCAAGAAAGTTGTGAGTACTCCCCATGCTCTCTGATGCACGGGAGAGCACCGCTAACACATTTGCAATTAGCTCGAGGGAGAACGAAAAAAGCTTGAGATTGCGCGGAGATCTGCTACACCAGTTTCGGGGGAAAGGAAGGGCGGTTAGTTAGTTTTGGACCAATTTTCTTTTTTCTGGGATGTGGGAGAGGTGAAAGGATGTGATGGGCGGGGAGTGACCGTAAATTCTATCTTTTAGGATAGATTTCTATAGTGACAAATAAAAAATGGCGTAGGGGGCGTTAGACGGCTTACTACGGTAATTTATAGTAAAAATCTGATGCAAATTGCTGAGATTGGTTTCTTTTTTTTTTTAGTCGTGTGAGTATTGTAGAAGGTTATTGGATGGGGGGTTTGTTTATCTATGAGCTCAAGTCTGGCGTTATCGACACAATGTTTCTAACTGGCGGATCACGAAAGGTGTTGCATAAATCGAGGGAGTCCTCTTTCGAGCAAGCTCCCGGCCCCATAAACTATCTGAAACATGCACTTTTCACAGCTATAGGCCCCAGCCGATCTGGATCTTAAAATGCGCATATATCCATCCATGAGAAATTACTTGCGACCGGTGGCTGGTTTGGGACTTGATCTTCCGGGTGCTCATCAGCGTAGCCCTCTAATTATAAGAATGTGGTTCCACTTACTTATAACTACATGTACAGTACCTAAGATGAGCGCTGTAAATATAGAGATTATACTAGTGGACTAGCTTTTCGGATGGTTCTATTCAGTAGTATAGCGAATTCACATGCCTAAGCTCGGGTGGGGCAGCGAGAGATCGAAATCGAGTTCTGAATACATCTACGCACCAGATGCTAATGCCTTGTTATTTTATGACAACTAGATCTAGCGTCTATGGCCAGGAAGCTCAAGTCTAGCAGTTTCAAAAGACTAATTGCGTAATGATATACACATACGTACCAGCCGTACCGCGAACATGGTTTAATTTAAACGGGAGAACAGGGGTAATTTTGAAGTGAACCTCCATATGCCCATTGTCTGTCTACAGCAATATCCCAGACTATTTCGAGTCCCAAGTATCGGATCCATGTCGGGCAGGTCAAGTATCCACCAAGGGGGTCAGATTGATTCACGAGTGATCTCATGTGATGCCGAGATATCGACAAATTTTGACAACAACTTATTATCTTTTTTCTTCACGAATAAAATGAAGAAGGCCTCCAGATTCAATTTATACCAATTAGCCGCTTCCTCTCCCAAAATTTGCAATCGTCGAGTCACGGACCGTGACTTGGCATCTACGAGGTCAAAGATCCGATCATAACCGCACGATCGACCGGGTAACCAAAGCCTGCCCGCTTCCTGCACGCAGCCCCACCTTCCCGCATCCTGAAGTATCAACAGCCCCACCCCCATCCCAGAAAAACGCAGCTCGCGAAAATCACTTCCCCGAGTATACGACGCCCAAGATCGCTGTGACCAGAGATACTAAATAAAAAACAAAGTATAAAATTTTTTTTACAAGAAGAAAAAAAAAAAAAAAGAATGGCGACAACTATTCAGATACCTCTCCCGACAGATCCTGAGTCAACAATGCTTCTGCTGGCTGCAACAGACCATAATATTTCCGTTCTAGAGTCGCTGCTCAAGAACACGTCGGCGAATGTCTATGAGCCAGAGACAAGACAGACGGCGCTGCATGTTGCGGTCGCGTCTTGTACGCCAGAGGACTCAGCAGAAGAGCTCAAGGCCGCAGAAGAGACTTTGAAGTTGTTACTACTCAACGGGGCTATTTGGAATGACTTGGATGTCTCCGGGGAGACGCCAGCGTGTATTGCGGACAGACTGGGATTGAAAAGCCTGTACGATATCTTGGTGGAAGCAGGTGTGAGGGCTGAGTTGATCCTGGGAAGGCTAGGGGGATACTTGCAGCTTAGTGATGGCGAAGAGAGCGAGGAAGAAGAAGTTGGAGATGACGAGGAAGCTCCAGAGCTGGTCCAGGAGTCCGACACTGTAGGAACACCGCAAACGGAGTTGACACAACCAGAGCTGGAACCAGAGGAAGAGATCAAGCAGGATGTGAACTCGAAAGATTATCTAGCCTCGAAATTGACCTATCACGACGACAAGCTACTTGATGAGGACAATAACGGGGTTATGATGGAGTGGGAGAGGGGTATTATGGAAAGGAGTGTGAACTCACTCGTCAAGGAAGAAGGAAAAAGAATTCTCAATATTGGATTTGGAATGGGTATAATAGACGGATTGTTCCAAGAAAAGAAACCTAGCCACCATGTCATCATTGAGGCGCACCCAGATGTCCTGAGAAGGATGAAAGAAGACGGATGGTATCAGAAGGAAGGCGTTGAGATACTCGAAGGAAGATGGCAAGATGTAGGTCCAGCCTTACCTAAGGACTTATGATTCAGATCTCTAACAGATAGCAGGTCGTTACTGACCTGGTAAACCGAAACATCACCTTCCATGCAATTTACTTCGACACCTTTGCCGAGTCCTACGATGAATTGCGTCTTTTCTTTACCGAATATGTGATCGCGCTTCTTGCACCTCTATCAGAAGGTGGCAAATTCAGCTTCTTCCATGGCCTCGGCGCAGACAGAAGAGTCTCATATGATGTTTACACTCGTATTGTTGAGATTGACATGCTAGAGGCTGGACTAGAAACCAGGTGGGACATTGTGCCCTTGAAAAAGGACGACGAAGAGGAAGATGGAATGGAGGAGGGTGGAAAGGTTTGGGACGGAGTGAAGAGGAGGTACTGGATAATTCCAGAGTACAAGCTTCCTATCGCCGAATTTTTGGGATAGTTCATGAGAACAAATAACTACCAGAGTGAAG